AAATTCAGATACTTTTATAAGAATCAGAGGAAGAAAGGTCAAATTAGTTCAACTGAAATTACGACATCCCTACATACAAAAATAGAGCTATTGGCCCACAGAAAGATGTATCACAAATTGATGAACTGCGAAGAGTCATCACACTCTTTTACCTAGTTCTTTGATGAGAGACAGTGCATGACTATAAAAACCTAATTTTAACCTAATGAAAGCATCAAAGCTTCACCAGCAAAATTCCTACCAAAACTTTTTTTTTTAAGAGACAGGTCTTGCTCTGTTGCCCAGGGATACAATGGCATGATCATAGCTCACTGCAACCTCAGACTCCTAGGCTGAAGCAATCCTCTTACGTCAGCCTCCCAAGAAACTGGAATACAGACCTGGTTAATTCTATCAAAAATTCTTAATCCAAACTTAGAAAATTATTATTTTAATTTCTGAGTTGCTCAAATGAACATTACCAGTGTAAAGACAAATACAAATTTAAAATAGAGCATAATTCTTCCTGTTGATTATAAGGAAATAGATTTCCCTCCCCTCCTGTTCCTTAGAAAATTTGAAGTTTATAACGTAAGTACTTTCTTCTCCCTTTGAAATGTATATAAATTCTTTTGAAAATTAGGTAGGGCTATTGTTTGCTTTATGACTCAGAAAAGTCTTTCTCAAGGACCTGTGAGCCACTCTCTGAAATGTAAAACTGAAGGGAGATAGCGCCCCTATCTCCCAGTTTCTGTTGAAAGCACAGAAGCCTAACTTTCTTAGGCACTTTGCTCCAAGTGCAAAACCACCTCCTGTTACAAAGATGTGAAAAGTTTGCTTTTTCTCTGGATAAAGCCAATTAGCTAACACAGAAAATTACTACAATTACCAGGTGAATCTAGGATGAACTATGTGTGACAAACGGGGCTGTCAAGCCCTTTTGTTTGAGGACTGTTTATCTCAAAAACATGTATATGCAGGAATAAAGAGGGGTGATCCCTTTCCTCCGATCATAAGGCTCACAGTCAACATCCCTACAACAAAAGACAAATTTACAAGAGAAAAGCAATTACTTCGCAATATATTTTAGGCAATTCTTTAACACAGGCTGATTTTAATAAGTTCCAACTCATCTCTTGCCCAACCCCCACCTTGAACTCAACACTCCAACCAGATTGAACTACTTCCAGTTCTCCAAATAAGCCATGTGATTTCTTGCTTTTGTTCTTTGCATGAGCTGTCTCCTCCATGTGGAAGCCTTTCCCTACCCTCACTTATCTCCTTATCCCAACCTACCTAACTCCTAGTCAAGGTTAGATGGCACTTTTTCCAGGAAGCCTCCTATTACTGCACAAAACTAGATCATTGCCCCTCCTTTCTGGCTCTCCTGTGTTTCCAATCAGACTGCAAGCAGGAAATGGGTCTAACTTACTGTTCTATCCTTAGTGCTTAGCATATGAATATATTTTTGTTACTTGAATGATCACTGTGGATAGTGATGCATTTTAATCACGATATAAAATGTGAATATGATTTAAAATTTAAGACTACTATACAAAATATAACATTACCCACAATCCACTCATTCTAGGGAATTGTGACATACTATATGCCAGAAATTTCCCAAGGTGGGAAAATCACAAGGAGGATAGGTACATGACAGTTCCAGAAGCCAATAACTCTCCACATGGAGGAAACTGCATCCTCAAAGGATAAACCTGCTGTAGATGGAGCATTACTCCTGGTGCTGCTGAGGTAGCCACTTACCCACTGATACAGCTTTGAAAAGCCTTTCAAAGTACCAAGAGACAAGATTTCCTGGGAACGACCCACATTGTGGAATAGGGGGTGTTACAGAGAATAACTGCAATGCTTAGATTCAGACCATTAAGATTGGAGACTGGGAGGCAGAAACTCCTGGGGAAACATCAACCATTAACCCATTCACACAAATGTCCCTGCTCAGGAAGGAGAAGGAATAAATTGAAGACTAGAAGTCCTGCCTCTCCACCTCCCCAGGACCCCACAAAATCCAACACCTGGTATTAAACATTTGCACACATATATTCAACTTACAACATGAAAATCACCAAGTTGGTACTGTTTTCCTTTTCTTCGTCCACACTGATGACAATAAATGCTTTTTTGAATAAAAGGCAGCACATTTGTTCTAAAAGTTAAATGAAAAAAAAATGTACAGTTATTTAGCTCTCAGAATTATCTTGAGAGTTCTAACAATGTTTTATGGCATACCTATTTTTCCCAAATTGTCGATATTCATAAATTGTAAGGGACTGGTCATGAGTGAAAAAGAACCCGATCAGCTCTCTACAAGCATCACGTCCATTTCTAGAAAAATAGAATGATATCAAATTTTTTCAAATAGAAAAATTTCAAATTAAATAATAAACTAAGATTGTGCATCTCAAAGAGGAATAGCATAACTCCCTGGAGTGTATGGCAATGAGCGAGGGTTACGAGAAGCTGTAGGGAAAACATGACAGCTCACTGAAGTGTGGATGCAAGTTAGATTCGGATAGAGAAAAAACCTTTATCTTATACTGATACAAATATGAATCTATTACAGTGTAGATTACTAATTCAACACAGACTTTTAGGATAAAGTGGAATACCTCAAAAAAAGGTTGAGCTTGTGAGAAGGCACTCAAAGATACATATTTAACTACCTTTTATCATCATAGAAAAGTTTAAAATCACTGGACAAATATGATAATTTAAAAATACATTTGCCACCTACATACACAAAGAACATCAAGTAGCATTCTGTGTTATTAGAAGTTTATGAGACTGAGATAACACATTTAAGAATCATTTTCCTTGTCACCTGTGTATCCATCAATAATCTATTAAGTTAAATCATTGAAATGAAATTAAATAAAGCAGTTTATATAAAGATTAACTTTTAGTTTAGAATCTTCTAGTAGTAATACATATCTTTTGAAAATTCACTTCTAAGTGTCTTTCTAAAACAAATTTATTTAAAAATCACTTTTGAAATAACTTTTAATTAAAATGTTTTTCTCACAGGTTCATATTTCCTATATTTTTCTAATAGATTAGTAGCTATTATATAAAAATGTTTCTTTAAATTCACTTTTTTCATTTAAATGACACAAATTTATCTAATCTCATTATTATTATTTCTATTTGAAAAAGAAAATACATTTTTATAATCATGGGATTAAAAAATTTAATAAAATCACAATTACCTTGATATGATCCTACCATCAAATTGTACTTTATGAGAAAGCATATTTTCGGTTAATGTAGAATGGGTTTTTATCCTGTTAAGAAATACATTTTGTCAATAATTCTTGAAACGTACTTACATTTGATGTGAATGATAAACATACAAAAAGGTTATGTTAATATTTTGAAACAGCACAGACTAGATAAAGATGAAGATACAAGGCTCTTTTTTTTTCAGATTGCTAATTGTAGCAAACACAGAAGAAATCACCCTGAGATATAGTACATAATACATGAATGACTTTTATGCTAGAAAATATAGCATCAAATTGCTGTACTAGTAAATATTGAGCAGAGATAGCACATCTGTGACTGGCACTGTTGCAGGGCTACACAAAAGCCATTTCTAACCCTCTTCTCCTTTGCCTCCCTCCCACCATAGAATTTGCTGTTAGCCTCTTGCAATTCGGGGCGATTAAGGGACACAGTCTGCAAATATGCTTCCAGGAAAGACTTTCTTTTGTCCTGATCAGAGAGTGGCATGGGAAGAGCTTCTGTCTGTGAATGTGGCAGGGATGTGATGCAGCAGCCACTATAGCCATCAAGCCACCATCTGAGAAAGGCCAAAAAGATCCAGGGAAGCCAGCCCAGAGCTGTCATATCACTGAGCCGCTGAACAAAAACCCATAATGGCCAATCTCCCAGCAGCTACTTATATAAGAAAAATAAATCCTTTCTCCTTTAAGCCACCATCAGGTAGCTTTCAATGGTGGGTAGCTGAAAACATTCCTTATCAAAATAACAGAATAATGGGAAAGAGTGCTGGATGAAGTTCGAACCTTGGCATAGGCCAGTTGTTTATTTACTCATTGTGACCTTCAGATTGTACTGATTGATCTCACCAAGGCTGCCAGCCCTAAAATTCTTTAACAACACGAAGCAAAACCCGAATGCACATATTCTGGCTCCCTACTACCTATAATCTCGTTTATATTAAGAGATTTGAGGATTCAATGATATATTTTTACTTTCCTTCCCAAATAATTTTATGACATTCCTCCCACAAGAATGCAGGTGTAATGAAATGGCAATAATGTAAATAGTAAGTAAGTATGTGGGTCATTGGGATCTTGAACACCATACCTCTATAAAATCTAAGTATCAACCAAAAGGAAGCAGGACACAGAAAACAAGAGGCTGTAAACCTAATGAGCGTTTGTGAACACAGAGTAGAGCCATGAAAATTTAGTCATCTCAATTCAATTTAATCCACCGGATTCATGTGTTTACTGAATGTCCACTGTGTGCCTGGAACAATTCTAAATGCCGAGAAAATAACAGCAACAATAACAGCTACCATTAGTGAGAGCTTCCTAGACACTAGTCATTGTTAAAATCATTTTAATGTGTATTGCTTTATTCAATACTTGCAATTTCTCTGAGGTAAGTACTATTATCCCTATTTTACCAATAAATTCTACACAATCAGAGAGAGATAAGTAAATTGCCCAAGGCCGTATGAGTAGTAAATGGCAGAGCTAGAAAAAAACCTTTCTCTTAACCATTACGTTACTTTTCAATGATGAGCAGAACTCACTTTAACAATGATAAGTTGAAATAATAGATTCAAGGACTCTACAGTCTTCATAAAAAGATAAAAGAAGTGAATATGCATTTATATTGTAAAATGCTAAGTGCCACGTTGGGTTTTAGGTGTCCAATAAATAGCACAAATACTTCTCTCTACCCAAGTTCCTAACAAATACAGAAAGAAGAATCAGGAACATTGAAGACCAAAATATAAATTTTATTGTTGATAAAGGTGTTAGAAACCATGGCTTAGGTATATGGCGACAATAAGCTACATCCTTGACGCTAGAATTAAAGACTAATTTACTCATTTCCATTGGGTAGGAACTCCGTAAAACTTAATGCACAGGGTAGAACGTGTGCTTCAGTAGGCAGCTGCCTCCCAGGAGAAAGGGGAAAGAAGAGCTGTACAACAAGTGCCAATTCCTGCTTCCAAGTTTATAAAGCAGAATTTTCTTTTCCTCCTCTGGGAAGAGTAATTGGGGGCAGGGAGGATGAAAGCTATAAATTCAATAATTCTAATTAATACTCCCATAGAATTTTCCATGGAACTTGGATAGAGAGAAGTATTTGTGCTATTTTTTGGGTACCTAAAATCCAACATGACACTTTGAATTTTACAATATAAATGCATATTTATTTCTTTATCTTTTTATGAAGACTGTAGTGCCCTTGTTTAGCCTTAAGCAAGCTGCAGGTATTTACTATAATGCAAAGCATTACTAATCAACACAGGATAATACTGATGCAGGAAAACAGGTAGATGAGACTGAAGAATAAGTCTAAAAACCAACTATGCACTTGCAACAACTTGACATATGCCATACATGGCATTACAAGTCAGAGGGAAAATGACATTGTGGTAGGCAGGGATTTCCTAAAGATGATACAAAGGACAGTAACATTTCCTCTATAGGGAAATATTGGTAAACTGTCTACATTAAAATTAGAAACCTTTGTTTCTAATTTTAGTCTTTAAGAAACATATAATCAAGAGAATCAAAAGGTGATCACAGAGTGGGAAAAGATATGTGCAACAAATGAAGAAACCCTCATATCCAGAATATATAAATAAGATCCACAGATCAATATGAAAAAGACAAAGCAACACAGTTGAATGGGAAAGTACTCAACTACATCGGTCTCCAATGGAATGCAAATTAAAATCACCACTATACAACCATAAGAAGAAATAAAATGAAAAAGACAATATCAAGCACTGCCAAAGATGCGGTGCAACTAGAACACTCATACTGCTACTGGTGGGAGTGCAAATTGCAGCAACCAGTTTGGAAAACTACTTGGCAGTGTCTTTTAAAGCTTAACATATGTGTACTAAATGGTCCAATAATTCTACTCCTAACTATATACTCAGCAGAAATGAGTACATATGTTCACCAAAAAGCATGCACAGAAGGAAAGTTCATGGCAGCATTACTCATAAATAGCCAAATATCCATCAACATCTGTGAATAAATAAGTTGTGATATATTTCTACAATGAAATACTGTACAACAATGAGAAAAAAGACAACTACAAATAATAAAATGGATAAAACTCACAAAGATATTGTTAAGTAAAAGAAGCCAGACACATCTCACTGTGCATATGTATATCAAAACATCATGTTGTACACCTTAGCTACAGAAGAGTGTCAGAGTTATGTGGAATGAGAAAGTCTTGATCTGCCATCATTGACTTTAAAGATGGAGAAGGAGCCATGAGCTAGGGAATGAAGGCAACCTCTCAAAGTTGCAAGAGTCAAGAGAATGGATTTGCCCCCGAAACTTCTAGAAGAAATGCAGCCCTGTCAACACCTTGATTTTAAGCATCTGAGCTCCAGAACTATAAAAGAATAAATTGGTATTGTTTTAAAATACTAAGTTTGTGGTAATTGTTACAGAAGCACTAGGAAACTAATATATGATGGCTTCAAATATTTAAATCTATGAAAGCTAAGGCTTTCAGAAAATAAGAATGAGATAAAAAGATAAAAGTGATAAGAAAATACTAATAATTAAAGCAGTCTGAAAATATAAAAGAGCTACTGTAAGTACCAGCAGATTTTCTGTCTATTAAAGTGGAGGCTAGATGTCAGATGTCAACGAAGTTGTTGAGGAATTTAAGTGGACTGCACCAGAGGACCATAAAAGTCCACATCAACCCAAAGATTTTATAAGCTACAAAGTAAAATGCAAAATAAAAAACCTTTATAAGGAATACAAACTTTTAATATATCAATGAGAGGTAGCTATATATTGCACACATACAAATGTCTCAGTTACTACATTAAAAATTGTCATATATATTATCTCTGAAGGTTGCAGGGTTTTTTTCGAAACTACAAATAAAAAATCCGGAGAGCAAAGAGAGTAGAATACGGTATTGCCCCCATATCTTAAGGTGGCAACTGGGAGCTGAACTTTAAAAATTCCACTTCTCATTAGATATTAAAAAAAAAGCAAAAACACAAAAACTTTTCAGTTAGATACAAAAGTACATTTTAAAAATACTTTTATAGCATAGCGCATCCTCATTTTATATAATTACAATCTGCTTACTTTGTTTCATGCAGTGTTCTTTTTCTAAGTCGAACAGGGGCTGTCTTTGAATCTTGAAGGATACGAGCGCTTCCTTTTCTCTGAATGGTTAAATTTTGTTCTGGGTCACTGATTACAGCCCTATACAGGAAAATAAAAAGTCTGAATGAAATCTGATAATGCGTGATATTCATGTATTTATAAACAGTTGGAAAAGCTCATACAGCAAATGCAAATTTACATTACTGTCAAAATAATACTTTTATCAAATATGAATAAATTTAATTATTTTAAAATACTGGCCATAAAAAAGTGAACATTGCTATCTCTTTTTTCATCAGTATTATCTAAAAATAAATTGAAATTTTGGAGGAAGCTAAGAGCTGCACGTCTTTCTCTTACTATTCTTTAAACAAATAGACACCATGTGGGTTTCTGATAATATAAGGGGGGAGAACACAGGTAAAGTAGAATTAGAATAGAAAGTGATAAGTGCCACAAACATAGAAGGGGATGACTGAAGTCCTGGAAAACAAGATACAGAGAAGAGGAGACATTTGCACTGATTCTTAAGGCTAGTAGAAGTGAACACCCAGAAGAGGAGGACGGGCACCATAAGCAAAGAAACAATGTGTATGAGGCCACAGAAGAGGACAGCACAGCACACAGTGTAACCCGATGAGAGTACTCTGGAACTCAGGAACTAGACTGCCTGGGTTGAATTTCTATCTCTGACAATAATTATCTGTGTGGCCTTATCTAGTCCTTTAGCTCTAGGCTAGAGTTTCTTCATTTATTAATATAAAAGAGGTAATAATGGTACCTCCCTCAAAGAACTGTTGTAAAGATTAAATAAATTAGTTAATATAGACATACTGTTTAGGAGCATGCCTATTATCTAGTAAGTATTATAGAAGGGCTCAATAGCAAAGGCTCTGCCTCACAATTGCCCTTTTACTACGTATTCTACTGAATATGAATAAATAGAGGCATGACAGCCTATCAGGTAGCATCACAAGAGGCTAGAAAAGAATTAGTAAAGCTCTCTAGTAAGGTGGCATAAACATAGGATTTGACAGAAGAAATAAGACCTAGTGTTTGATAGATCAATAGGGTGACTATAGTTTACAATAATCCATTAATACATTTAAAAACAGCGAGAAGAGAATAATTTGAATGTTTCTAGCATGAAGACAAGATAAATTTTTAAGGTGATGGATAGCTCAAGTACACTGATTTAATATTTACAAATTATATGAATGTATTAAATTATCACATGTACCTTAAAACTATAAAAAGAACATAAAAAATAGATGTAGTAGAATGAAAAAATTCAAGAAACACTGGCAGAACTATGAAACTAATTGGATTTGAGGTTATCAAACAGAAAGATCTATAGTAACCCCACAGTAGAAATGAGATTCAATTAATAATGTAAGGAATGTGGGAGTCATATTATGGTTTTGGTTTGTTATTGTCATCATTAATATAGCAAAGATAGGTTATCCTCATAGCCTCACTTTCCTCTTTACTCAGCTTGGATTACATGATTCATCAAAATATAAACTTTTATATACCCTTTACAATGTTGGCCTCTCTGGTTATTTTCTACTTGCGTGGCAAAGCCCCAAGTCTGAAGGAGTTTGATTACTGAACTGGATAAAAGAATAAATGAGTAGACATTTTTTACAAAGGTATCATGAGTCTTCAAAAAATATGAAGGTGAAACAGTAATTCAGGAATAGAATTTATAAATTTAGTAGGTTATTTCCATTGTTGGAACATTCAGGAGAAGCTTTAGGTATTTCTACCATATACTATAGATTCTGTTCATTTGTGTGCCAAGTTATGAACCAAATCTTTTTAAATTGAGCATTAAGATATTTTTTAAATTTCCCAAATGAAAAAGTCTGGCATTTACCAAAAAATGGCATCTATTCTATTCTCGCACTTTATCTATAAGTTCTATGTTAAATATATACACACAGAATGTTAGAGTTATAAGAAATCTTAACATTAATTTGGCAGAGGCAAAAATCAAGACATAGAGGAGGAAAATATGAAAGCTCCAACAGTGAATTAGTCATATAGCTACACTTAAAAACCAGTTCTGCTGACTCTAATCAAGTCTTCTTCTCCAGTTCATTCATTCATTTGCCCATTGAGCAAGTATTTACTGTACAGCTACTATACTAGGCAATGGGAATGCAAAATGAACAAAACTTCCTAAGAGCCCTGCCCTCATGGAGGTCACATTCTAAAGAGGCAAACAGATAATTAACATGGTAAATACCAAAAAATAAGGTAAATTACATCTCCCTGTGGGAAAAAAATGAAGTTGTAAGAAGATATTAAGTTTTGAGGAAGGGGCTATACATTTTTTATTTGGCGGCCAACCTATGTCTCAGCAAGTTGACTTCTAAAGAAAGATAGAGGTAAACTGAGTAAACAGCCATGTAAATTTCTAGGGAAAAAGCATTCCAAGCAGAAGGGAAAATAAATGCGAAGTACCCAGGACAGGAGTGGAACCTAGTATGTTCCAGAACAGGAAGCAAGCCAAATGGCTGGAGTAAAGTAGACAAGAGGGAGAGAAGTGCAAGATACAAAGTCCAATGGTAGGCTTGGATAGACTGTATTATTGGCCCCAATATTCCAGTATTATTGGCCCCAAAGGATCCATATCCTTGCTGTTGCTTTATTCCAGGTGGAGTGTACTTTTTCACCACTCGACTTTGAGCCTAGGCATTTGACTTGCTTTGGTCAATTATATATAGCTGTACGGCTCTGCTAATCTCAGTTGAACTAACTCACGCAAGCGCGGGTTAGCTGGGGATCTGCTTTTCTAGGATGGTCTCCGCTAAGTAGCCCAACTGCATGTGTAGAAGCAACTTTTTCTCAAGACTAGTGGGCTAGCCAAGCAGTGTTCTTCTCGCAGAATGGCAGAAGCATTAAAGGGCAAATGGAATCACATGAGATCTTTCAAGGTCTAAGCCCAGAACAGAGACCATCACTTCTGCTCACATATAACTGGCCAAAATAAAAAGTAAGATACAGCCAAGCCTACCGTGGATAGCTAACCTAAAGATTAGGTGGAGCAAGGACACCTTCTTAGAGGCCTGCTGTGCCAACCATCACCCCAAAGCATGGAAGTAAAGGAAAAATTTTAAGTCCTTTCAAGGGAAATTCTGGGCACCTAGCTAGCCTTGAAAAGTAAATAAGCAACCTAATAAGCAAGAAGATAACAACAATAGTCGTCCAAGAAAGCCAGAATCAAGAGATGTTTTAGTTTATGGAAACTAAAAGATAACATCTTAACATTTGCTCTTGAGTTGTTTTTCAGAAATCCCCACCAGATGGAAAATGCAGATTAAGGGGGAACTAAAGACTGAACTCTCACTGCTCTGAGGGGCCTGGAGAGAGCCACACCCACTTTACCATTACTTTCTGCTAATCAAAGAATCTCTGAGTCCACCTATGACCTGTAAGCCCCCATTTCAAGGTATCTCACCTTTTTGGAGCCAAACCATAACCTCCATATACTGATGTACAATTTTGCCTGCAACTTCTGCTCTCTGGAAATGTACCCTGTCTTTAAAAATCCTTGCTTATAAGCCATCAAAGAGTTCCAGTCTTAAGTGTTAGCTGCCTGTACTCCTTGCTTGCCATCATGCAATAATATGCCTTTTTTTCCCACTGCAACTCTCAGCATCAGTGTCTGACTTTGCTGCACCAGGCAAGTGGACCCTGGTTGGGTTCAGCAACAAACACACATGAGCAAAATTTGATGAATTTTTTTAAGCTACTAAGTTTTGTGGAGACATATAACCAACACATAGGTCTTGTAGGTTTTACTATGATTGGGATGGGAAATTACTAAAGGGTTTGATCTGGCTTGCCTGTTAATAGATAACTCTGGCTACTAGGTTGAAAATAAACCAATAAGAGGCAAACACAGACACAAAAGAGACCAGTTAGGAAGTGGCTGAAATAATCCAGGAGACAGAAGAAAATGGTTTGAACAGGATGGTGGGAGCAGAAGGCATAAATTTATTTTAATGGTAGGACTTACAGTGTTTGCTGACAAACTGAATACAGGATTTGAGGGAAAGAGAAGAATCGAAGTGATCACCAGGATTTTAGGCCTAAATAACTTGAAGAATGGAGTTATCATGGAGGAAAATTAAAGATGATGTGTTCGTCATGGGAAAGAGGGCAATGAACTTTCAGAAACTCAGATTGGAAAAAGTTAAATTGAAATATTAGTTTAGGATATATGTGGTTTTCAAGGCACGGTACTGGATGAGATCACTTAGAAAGCAAATACACAAGAGGTCCAAGAATTGAGCCCTTTGGCATGCCCACATTTAAAAACTGGGGAGATGAAGAAGAACCAGGAGAGACTGAGAAGGTATGGAAGGTAGGAGGAAAACAAGTGAGTGCAGTGTATAAGAAGCCACATGGAAAAAAGAAAAGTGTTTCAAAGAGAAGAAAATTTTCAGTGAAAACAGATGTTGCAGCTGAGTCAAATAAATGAAAATTGAGAAATCACCACTGGTCTAGCAATACAGATATCACAACTTATGAAGGGCAGTGGTGGTGCCATGCTGGAGGTGAAGAAATAAATCAAATAAATTCACGAGATCATGGAAGGAGATACATTGGAGACTCTCAGCATCATTAATTGTTTCAAAGGATTTACTTGAAAAATATGCATGTAGAGTATCATTCTTTCTCTCTGCCACTTAATTAAATAATTTTTTCATAGCTAACCTTAAGTCTTAGTTTTTCCTCTATGACTTCTTAGATTATTCCAGCCTCTCTTCTGAAATCCCACCGTATTTCCATGTTGTCATACAATTTTGCGCTGTATGTGTTAAAACTTTATATAGTTTTCTAAACGGTTTTAAAATTCTCGACAGTCTCACAATTCTCAAACTGCACCAAGGCACCCTGGGATACTGCAGTGAACTCATGGGGCACTGTGGGATATTTTTAATTTTCGAGGGAAACACATTGACATTCGACATCACTTGCACACCAGGAAAACTATTAGCACAAGTTAGTTCACAGTTTCAACAATATATCACGCTATGCCTCTTCAGTGATGTTACAACTTTGCTAAGCTGGGTTTTCTACAGTTGCTGTAATAAAATACAAAATATGTGGAAATCAATGTAGAATAGAAAGTGAGGGGGGAAGCATTATAAATGATTCTAGGATTTGAGAGACTGTGCAGTGCCTAAAAGATTCATACAGCCCATTAGCAAGCAAGAATAAAATTAAAATATTTTCTTTCAAATTATGTATATTATTATTTCAAATGTTCATTAAGTTGTTAGGAAATAAATACTACATTGTTTAGACAAAAATAATAAATAGAACTGTTACGTATTTTTATTGGGCCTAAGAGTGTGCTGTGAAAAAATTACTAAAACACTAAGAGTGCAGTGAACAGACAGAGTTTGGGAACTTCTGAGTCATCTGCTCACTGATTGACCAAGGTTATGGGTGTCATTCATGAAAAAGAAATTTAATGACAACTTTCCGAATGGATTTCTATTACTAGTTCCTAATTTTCACCTGGATAAGTGGTCTATCATCACTTGCTCTGCAACAGTCTGCTTTTTCTTCTCTGCAGCCGCAATTTCCTGAGAAGATAAGATAAAGACAATTTCATTGTCCATAAAGCAGAACAATGCAATAGTTAACAAAAAAGTCATAAAATATAAATTAAACAACTCCAATTTCCTTCTCAAATATAGATGACTTTCCATCATTAACAAATTTAAACTCCAATTATTTATCTACAGTATCATCTATTTCCTAAAAAGTAATGCACTTACATTTTGGTAGAAATAATCAGATACTCCAATGAGCTGCCTTTGCATTTTATGGAGTCAGACTAAAGGAGGAGGAGTATGACATCCCTCCCCTTCCTTCCTCCCCTCAAGAGATGTCCTGCAAAAAGGCATCTTAACTTGCTCCAAGAAGAATACCGATACTGACACAAAGAGAATTTGGTCTGAAACTATTCTTAAGGCCAAAACTGAGTTTGAATCATTCAACCTTACATCAAAAATCTAAGCCAAAGCAAAACAAAAATAAAACTCCCATCATTGAAAGTATAATGATCTTTTCTTTATATACAATGCATCAATAATACTTAATCAACTTTTCTCAATTACTGGTTTGATTAAGCTGTCTTCATAGTATTTTTTGCTTTCCCAACTCATCTGAAAGTATGGGTCACATCAAATTGAAAGATTTGTAATTATTCATTTCCAATTAGATTATTATGCAATGATAATGACTTTAATGTTTCTTATGAGGATAAAAGAGGTTAAAAAATTAAGAAGTCAAAATAAAGCTTGTTCTATGTAAATGACTGCCATCCCCATCGATCACTCCCATAAATGAAATCGAGTAAGATCATGTTGTTTAAAATAGAAGCTTCATAACCTTTGAAGAATGCTTTATTTAAAACTGACACAAAATATCAACTAAGAATATCTAAAGGGATATCAGAAAAAGAAAAAGTAAAAACTTGTAAGAAACCTGAAAAAGTGTGGCACAATTCTTTAAATGTTAGCCTACACTGAATTTAGTTTTGTTGTTTGGTACAAATTTAAGATATATAGTTTACACATGCAAATATGTCCCATATAAAATTTATATAATTTAATACATCCTGTGTTGTTCTTTAAGATCTTAACACTTTATAAGGTTTCTATTTAGGAATAACTTTAAAATAACAATTAAAAAGGTAAAAAAAATTGTGCAACTTACAGGTAAAGCAAGGTATATTTTATAATATCTACGGGTGATTCACAAAGTGGACACTGACTAAAACATAGAAATTGTATACAGAAAATATGCACATCAGCCAGCCATAGACATAGATGGAAAACCCAGAAGCAAGCCAAAGAGGGGAGATGAATGGCTATCATACAGCTCATGCAGACAGCCCACCTGAGTGCTGAAGTTTATGGTAGCTTATACTTTGTAGAAAAGGTTAGAAACACCCTCAGGCACATTGATTTAAAGGTCTGTGAAACACAAAGCAGATTAGAAGCAGAAGTCACACTCATGCAAGGATCTGTCAACACTGAAAAATGACCAAAGAACTAGATGAGATGGATATAAAAACCATAGATTCACTGCACTTCTGTCATTCATTTAAGTAGTTACAAATTAAATAAGGAAATCTCCATCTACATTTTGAAAACAAATTGGTGCAAATTTCATATGCCTTGAAAGCTTACTCACATAAACATTTCCTAGGGGGTGGGTAGATAAATGAGTGCTACCACAATAAGGTAAAATTTTCTCGATGATGAATTTAGATACATTGCCACTAACAATGTAATTGTAAAGAAAAGACATCCAATAACATCCAGATGAGCTTGGATTATATTTATACCCAATGAGCCTTAAATATTGGTAATATCCATTTCAAATATAACTTTAGGATATATCAAAATAAGCCTTATTTGGGACACTGATTTGCCTTATAAAGTAGTTTTTTAATATTTAGGATAACCCTGGTAATACATTTTATTCTATTAAGCATAAATATCTAAAAAATAATAGTCATAGAAAACAATATGCATGTGGTTTTAATAAAAGAACTATCACAAATTTGCAACTTAGGACATACACAGAAAATCAGTTCACCTAGTCTAATTGATTACACATTACTGTCAATTCAGAACATAACTGATTCCGGATGATTGTGACCCAAATAAAATATATATTGAATTTCTACTCAATGATATTAATAATGTATTAGCTAAATCCACATGACTTTGTTATTATTCAGGCTGTCTAAACTGGAGTTTTCCCAACTTGTGAGCCACCACACTGACATTCCGTCAATCTGTTACAGGTATATCTAAGATATTAATCACCTGGGGCTGTCTGAGGTAGCCAGTGAACTTCAAGTAGCATGGTCCCCTTACCCCAGAACATTACAGAAATGTTATAATTATCTATTTGTGCCAGAACTAGTCTAAGCAATATTCAACAACCTAATTGACTTTGTAAGAGACATAATTTAAAGTTAATATTGAAAATCAGGAGTTTTGCTTCACTTTTCCTTAAAAAAATTACTTTATTTCCAGCTTTTTCCTTAACTACCCTGAATTTCTCTAGTGTTAGTAGCTTATGACTTTAAAAAAAATAACCAGGCTACTTCTATTGGGGAGGGAGCAATGCCAAATAAGCCCACTAACATAAATAGCGGCCAATTAACATTTGAGAGCTTGTTTGGAAGTTCTAGCAGGGGAAGCACCGCTACTGGTACACCCCTGACAGAAGAAAGGTCCTCCTCTATCAGGGAAGGTCATCCCCTTGGATGGAGCATGCGGCTTCAGGAGGGACTCACATGGAGCCCTGAGGGGGCAAGGTGACACCCACCTAGCCAGCCAGATCAGCCGAATCAACCCTGGTGATCAATGTGGTGACAGATGTTGCAGCCAGATTGACCTCACATCCACTTTTGAACAGTATAAACTAAATTTTTACAAACTTGCAAAGATTCAAGACAATTTTTTCACAGAATATAAGCCAAATACAAGTCAATCATTTAAAAAATGAGGACTCAATTTTCACATTAATGAATATTTACCTCAGTCCAAATTCAATTGTTGCAATTACATATTCAGTTATAAGTCTATAAAATCTTGGAGGGCATAGTATCTTAATGGCCTATCAAATAAGTAAAAATGCTGAAAACTTACTGCGTCCAATTTTCTTGCACTGTGTTGCGTACTATAAGGGTTGTGTGCATAACCTTGCTGTAAGAGAGCTTTCCTATCCAGAGTTGTAAGGTCATCTGTGTTGGCTTCGTCACCTTGTACACACTATACATGAAAGCAATAAATGAACCATCATACTCATATTTATAATATTTTTAATTGAAAATTAGAGTTTATTATATGCCAGGCTAAGTGTTTCAGATATGTTATCTAATTTTCCCCCTGCCAACTGAATGAAGAAGCTATTATTATTATTCTCTTCTATATATGAGAAAACTAAGTCATCCAGAGTTTAATCTTGGAGATACACAGTTAGTAAATGGAAGAGATGTTATACAAACCTAGGTCTAATTCCAATTAGTAATTAAAATTATTAGAATATTGGTTTTTAACAAAATAAGGGAATAGATAACTACTGAATATCTCAGTGATTATTTGTACAGGGGTTAAGAGTACAGCCTCTGTCAATTGCATTGCCTATGTTTAAACCCATCTCTTCCACTTTCCAGCTAGATGTCCTCTGTGTGCTTCAGTTTACTCATAGACAAAATAGAAATTAATAATAGTAACTACTGCACCAAAATGATTAAGAGATAATATATGTCCAACACTTGTAAAAATTATGTGACACAGTATTAAATAAAAAGTAGCAACTATTATAACTATTATTGTCCATGTTAAGTCTTTGCAAAATTAATAAATGTGGGCATGTCCATTCCATTATAAAATTAAATTCATAAATAAAATATTAAAAGATGAGTGTAATCTTTGAGGTAAGAATTCTTTGGGATGCTAAAGAGATAAGCAACAAATTTTTCTTAGAATATGAGATGTGCTTAAACTACCTTAACAACAACAAAAAAGTCCCAACATGGTATCAACTTGTCAAAAACTTAATAAATTTCAAGAGTTTTTACCCCCAGGGCTTATTTTCACTTTAGATTTTCATTGAAAGGTCACACTCCATCTTCACACTCTGTCTTTATGACCTTTGATTGCTATATAAATTATTATTATATTAATATATTTGTTAGTGATTTATTGCCTGTTTCTCCTAATGTGAATTCCATGAGGACAGGAACCTTGTTTGTCATTTTTATCCCTGGCGCCAAAACAGGATCACACATGGTGAGCATGTGATAAATATTTATTCAATAAACGAATAATGAACCTTGGTTAAATATTTACTATTTGAAAATCAATTTATGAGGACACTTCATAGTTTTATTTATTTACCCACTAATATACCTGTTTTTTATATGTAGTGATTTATTTATACAGGTACCAAAAAGATGCCTAGCATTACATAAGGTAAATTGAGCATATTAATTTAATATATATATTTAAGTATAAGCAAAGCACTACATTATGTTTGCTTTGAAAAAAACTTTTGAAAGGATTTTATTTTCTTTCAGCTGGTTTTCAACCTTCTACAAAAGGAAAACAGTGACATTTCCGCTTGGTACTTCAAATTTAACTTCCCCAATCCAGACTTCCTTGTGGTCTTCCCCCAACTCCAGTTAATAGGAACTGCTCAGGCCAAAAGCTTTAGACTCATTCTTTTTTTAAAATTAATTTAAAAATATTTAATTGACAAATAAAAATTGTGTATATTCAAGGTGTACAACATGATGATTTGATATATGTATACATTGTGTAATGATTACCACGATCAACTTAATTCACACATCCATCACCGCACATAGTTACCATTCGTGTATGTCTGTGTGTGTGTCTGTGTGTGTTCACATGGTGAGGACACTTAAAACCTGCTCCCTCATTAAATTTCAAGTAAAAAATACAGTATTTGTAACCACAGCTACCATGTGTACATTAGATCCCCAGAACTTATTCATCTTATAACTGAAAATTTGGACCCTTTGGCTAACATCTCCCCATTTACTCAACACCCCCCGCCCCCAGACTCTGGCAACCAACATTCTACTCTCTGCTTTTATGATTCAACTTTTTTAGATTCCACTTGTAAGTGAGAACATTTCGTATTTTGTCTTTCTGGGTCTGGCTTATTTCACTTAGCACAGTGTCCTGCAGATTCATCCATGTAGAATCATTCTTGATTTTCCATTTCTCTCAAGCCTACAACCAATCCATCCATAAATCTTAGCCCTACCTTCAGAATGTATCCAGAATATGACCTTGTGAGACCACTTCTTACTCAAGGACACTGCTACCACCACCTGGGTCCAAGCCATCATCATCATATCTTGTCTGGATTATTGTGACAGCCTGCTCAAAGGTGTTCCTGCTTCCAGCTTTGCCCTATTCTCAATAAAACTCATTCTCAAAAGAACAAATCAGCTTTCTGCCTCAGAGTAAAAGGCAAAGTCCTTACACGGCTTATGAGGCCCTCTGATCTGCCTCCCAGGCTCCCTTTAACTCTGACCATATAGTTAAGCATTCAATAACTATTTGTTGAAATAATAAATAATAAATGAATGAATTATAGTGATCATTTCTAAAACTAAGAGGTGGTTTTTTTAATAGCATGGGTGAAAAAAGATATATCTGGAATGATTAAGTACGATTAGGAAATTAAGATATTTTATATGAAATTGAAGTTTAATGATTTTCATGTTTTATTTAAAGATGTTTCGTTATTTTAAAAACATATTATGCACACATAAGTTTACATTTTAGGTAGCAAAACAATTTGACAAGAGATTCATCACCTTTTTATACTAAGTGGAAGGAAAACTCAAAAAAGGAAATTTGCCATTAGAAATGTTATGATTTGGATGTTTGTCCCGTCTAAACCTCATGTTGAAATTTGATCCCCCTGTGTTGGAGACGGGGCCTAGTAGGAGGTGCTTGGCTCATGGATGTGGATCCCTCATGAATAGATCAATGCCTTCTCTCAGAAGTGGGTGAATTCTCGCTCTATTAGCTCCCCCAAGAGTTGGTTATTCAAAAGAGCCTGGCACCTGCTCCCTCTCTCTCTTGCTTCCTCGCTCGCTATGTAATCTCTGCACACGCTGGCTCCCCGTCAGGCTCCACCATGAGTGGAAGCAGCCTGAGGCCCTGACCAGATGCTCAAACTTTTATTTTACTGTTCAACTGATTATCAGTTGATTCATGTATCAGCCTGATTTGTTATAACCATCAGCTATGGTCATTAGTTATTGTCCTGGATCTTAAATATATGTAACCTTAGCTTTTCTTTATCAGTAAAGAGAATCAATTTACATATAGCTCCCTGCTTTAAAGAGAGACTGGTATCAGGGACTTTTATTTTCAGAGATTACTATTACAGAGTTAATTCATATAATTGTCACAGAATTTACTAATAATCCATTTATACAGCAGTTTTGATTCTTAAAATGATATACACTTAAAAAGACATCAAATGCTCAAACCCCGTAAGTACATGATTGTTATACAGTAAATCTAAGGAAACCTTTTTTATAGAAGTTCTTTTGTAAGACTACCAAAACATATTAAACATAATAATTTCACACTTTTAATGTAGATTTTAAAAATTAAAGAAACAAAACAGTATCTTTCCCAGCAGAAAATATGCACATGTTGGCTTCAAAAAACCTCTTTATTCATACTATATATATATATATATTTACCAATTATATGGAAAGATTTGCAAATGAGATTCATTCCTCTCTTAAACCAAAAGTAAACAAATGTCCATTTGAACTTGTGTTCAAGGAAATAAAAGTTTTACTTTGAAAATATTTAGAATCATTTTGCTGCCACTCAATAAAACAAATGCTTACAGAAACCCTCATTCTGTTTTCCCAGCATATTTACAGTGATATAAATATCACATGGTATATCTTGCAAATATTAATGATACATGACCAGATGCTAAAGGGTTGTGAAATTATCTTCCCTAGTATTATAGACACCAGGTTACCATATTTGTGTACATCTGTTTGGGTTTAGAAAAATTCTTGTAAGATTAAAAAGATCAAATAATCCCATGAATTTTATTACTCTTTCAGCTAAACACTATGTGATTTATTTAGTTCTAGATAGTTCATACATGGATTAAAGAAACATAGCTGACATGATACACCTATCTATCAATTTACCATTTTTTTTACCTACAGGAAAATGCTAAGCAACTGCAGCCATCAGACTTCCCTGAAAATATATTATTCTTATAGAAAGTTAACTGAATTAAGAATTCTATTCAAGCGTCCTCTTCTTTTGGTCAGTACTATTGTATACTACATTTCTAAACAATTCTTTTCAAAAATCAAGATTGACTTTTTCTTATGAAAGCCATTAAACTTATTATGTTTAATTTGCTTTTTATATTCATGAATAGTGAATTTATACCTAATTAACATTAAATGAAATCATAACAATTTCAGTAATTCATGATGTTAAAAAAATTTCCCAAAATTAGGCAAAGACAATCATGAAGTGATGACAGTTTTAGAATAAAACGAGGTCACTATAAAGTCTGAAACCACTTTTCAGCTTTAAAACTTAGACTTTGAGACCATCCAAGTTCAAGACAGCTAAATCAAATATATATCAAATATATATATAATTAAATATATATCATATATACATATAATTAAATATATATATAAGATTGTCTTATTTCCAATCTCAAGACAAGTGAAAAGTTTCTAACAGAAAAAAGATAACTAAGTCACGTGGCTCGAGTTTTGTGTCTGAAAATGGTGATAATAATCCTTTAAAATTTTTGTGAAGAATGAAATAGTTCTAAGCAAAATACATAAAATAGTCCCTGAAACACAGAAATAAATGTTAGCTACTATCTTACTATGACTAACAGCAAGACATATCAGACAAAAAGACATTTCTGTAATATGTGCAGTTTTTTTTAATCTCATTAGAAATTTATAAAGCCTCATACATTACCTTTTTATCTATCTTATTTCTGGGAGATTGTTGATAAGTGATATTTGATTTTGTCTTTTCTGCATTTCTCTGACTAAACTGCCTATATCCCTCTCTCATTTCAGTTTCATATTGCTGATATTTTAGTTTATATTTTTCTGTTGGTGCTGGTAAATTTTCAGGTATCACGTCCTGTTCCTATAGGTAGAAAGAAAAGCATGCAATACACCACAAAAAAGAAATCAAAATAATTATTATTTTCCTTATTGACATTAACAGGTTTACCATTTACCTTAGCATTTATGTCTAAAAGACAGACCATTATAATCTATGCTCTAAATACAGGTGATATTTAAAACATTCAGCTGGTACAACATCACTGACCAAATCAGAGCAGAGAGAACTGCTTGGAATGGGCACTCACCTTAAATATCAGTAAGCATGTACCATGTTTTCTAGCTGAAGATCAGTAATGGTTCTAAAAGAATCCAAAAGGAGAAAAATCGACTTTTCTTTCTTCTCAGGAGTTTTAGATAAGCTTTATTTTTCCTGCCCCAGAAGAACTTCATTGTTAATCATTGTTTTCCAGAACAGACATGGGGACTGGAGATCATTAATGCTGGGAAGCACTGGTTGCCATTTCTAGACTATTGACATATTCTACCTTCTGGTATTATTTGGTTCCCTGCCACATTTCCATATAAGTGAGAGATAATAAAACCAGTGGATAAAAGAAACCTAAAAGAACTACTAAGTACCTATGAGGGCATAAATATTGACCCAGGGAGGGACAGACACTCCAAAAGGAGCATATAAAGCCAGTCCAACCCTTGAAAAGTATTGAGGATATACAAATCTAACACAGAGAAGGATGAGGTAAAGGTTCAGGGTAAAAACCATAGCAAGATACAGACCAGGGTATTATTCATGCAAGTTTTCAAAACAAAACTGAGGAGAACATGATGAGAGCCAACTACAGGAGGAAGACTAATAAAGACAGGAAAGCCCTACTTAGAATACTAGTCAGAGCCTGTATTCATAACATGAAATGAAACACTAGATACGTCTGAAGTATAAATATGCCCCAAGGAAACATCATGGAATAGTATATTTACTTACACTGGTTATGTCTGAAGTATTAACTTGTCCCAAGGAAACAACTTGGAATTAGCATAGCTACTTATTTACTCCCCAGTATTCCAGTAGCCTAAAATATGATTCCGTTTCCAAGACACTAATCTTATAATACATCGTTAAACTAGCAAGATCTGATCTAATATTCTGCCATATTTTTAAAATCCCTGGATTACATATTAGAATATACCTGTACTTTACCAATTTCATCAAAATGTTTGAAATACCATTCCTTTGTGTGAAAAAAATGTGAAACGAAGTAAAATTATTTCACCAGCATTATTGCTTGGGATTTGAATATATAAAATATTTAAACTTGGCAAAACATAGATACAATAAAACTTCTGGAGTAGATACTGTGCTAATAATGCATACTACAATTCTGTAAGATGGTAATAAGCAAATAAATACTAACCAGTTCATATAGATGATGCTGAGTATGTGGTATTTGACCTGGTGTGACCCAGCCAAGAGTAGAAGATGAATTTGGTGGGTTAAAATGAACCTGTGCTGTACTAAGTGGAATATATGAAAAATCATCCTAAAAAATAAAAGGTAATTATACTTATTATATGCTATATGTAATATTGTGTATGAATGTTTATTATATTAAATACTAAGTAAAAATTACCTCATCATCAGAGTCAACAAGGCTTCCCAAATCAAGTCGTGGAACCCTGAAAGAAATAATCTATGCATCCCATAACTTTTTAAAATGAGATTTCAATAATTGCAAATCATATATGTTATATCTTATATAAAAAGGTACATTGAAGTCAATGGTGTGCTGGCTCCTACTGTCTTGTGACAGGCTTTTGTTAAACGTTCAGTAATTTTTCAAGCTGGTTGCTAAACATAGGCAGCATTAAAAATAAAATAATATGAATTTATCATTAAATTATATTAAAAACAGAAGTAATAAATACTCAAAATTAATCATTTCCTAATGATTAAGGTTATTTATGTCTATCATATCTGTTTGGTAATATATTAGTGTGCATCCTTTCCAACTTTATGCTCAATGATGTTCTTAATATACAGATAGCTTGAAATTAAACAGGGTGGGATTATTTATACTGAAATTGGCAAATGTTGTAAATCGGTCTTGATTTATAATTTTGTTGATTTCTGAGACTTAAAAAAGTGATGGAGAAAATGTTAATAATGCAGATTAAACTTAAAAGTGTGCCATGTCTATAGCTATCACACAGTGAATAGCATCAAAATAAACTGAGGAAATACTGCTTTGGTATTCAAAACTATTATTTGATTCAGCAAAGAAATCATTCACATCACTTTACAGTAAATGAAAATAACAACCACCATTCACGTTGGAACTACACTGGTTCATTAATTGCAACCATAGGTTAGCTAGCGATACAGAGTTCAAGAAAAAACCAAGAGAGCATTCTATGAGAATCCGTTGGCTATCTGAGATCTATGTTAATGAGTTTATATATTTTATCAGTATTTGTAGATTGCTACACATCCTTTTTATCAGTAAAAGTTATAATAAACTTAATATATACTTAAATTTATTTATAATGAACAAGTAAAATTTATAATAAACATATAATACACTTTGAGAAAACCAGTTGTTAAACATTTCGCAGCACACAACTGGCACAATCATTGTTACATACTCAATATCTTATATCTAGCACTTGCACCCAACTCTCTTCTTCATGTCTAGATGAGCATACAGGTTTCTATTACATAGAACCACAGGAAGTTGTTGATGTTTGTTCATTTTTAATCTCTACAAATGTCAATGTTATGTGGTTCAGCCTAGTAAATTATTGACTTTTTAATTTTTATTTTCCAAGAATCCCTGTAGTCTAAAATACTTGACAGAATATAAAAATCATATCATTCAAATTTTAAAAGGCAAAAATAATATAAAATATAAAACATAAATTAATGTATTCTGGTCCAAAAATAAAATAATTTTAATAAGATTTGTAAAATTGCCATATTCCTCTAAATTAAAGCACAGGCCAATTTATCTTTAAATTCATTTGGCTAAACCAATTATAAAATGGAAAACATTTAATATATTTCTTTAATAAATGCATTTAGCTGAATTTTCTAAATGAAAAAATATTTTAACTTTTTCAGGAAAATATAAAAATAAAATTAAAGAACATAAAAAACAAAAGAAATATTACTTATCACAAGAGCTATTTTACTTTTGGCATAGTTATTTTCAGACCACCCATATGCATATAGATTTTTCTATGGCTCACCATCATAGCTACATGTATAATTTTGTTTTCTTTTTTAACTAATCAATGTGTCATAAATACAAGCCCATTAAATTGTTCAAATGTTTTGAAATGTGACTTACACTGGTGGGCAGGAATTCTGATTTGCCCATGATTCGGAAGTCCATTTTTGCTGTAATGAAAAAAAAAATAGAATCAGTATAAATATACTCGTTATACTTTAAGAGATAAGCAATGAGCAAATGCAATAAAGCTATAATTTTCTCAGTAAAATCCACATAAGAAATACTTATTAAGCCCCTTCTTCCTGTCCGTGAGACACAGATAAAATGGCAAGCAAGACAGATAATTCCAGCCCACATAGCATTGTGTCTGCTGGGGAAGGCATTCACTCAAATAAACAATAATGGCAAAAATAAGTCTATGACAGAGCAACTTCATAGCATGTGTGCCCAGCCCACTCGAGGGAATTTAGGAAGCTTTTCAGAAAAAAAAAAATACATCTTTTAAAGGAAGTTCTAAAAGAGAAGGGAGAAAACTGCTTCAGCCAGGAAAGGACTTGTGCTGCACAGGCCCACAGGCAAGAGTTAGCATTTGGAAGGGGGTAAAATCCAGAGTGTGAAGAGGTAGAGCCAAAGCCAAGCTGCTACATTCTAATACAAATTAAGGCACTTGGACTTTGTCCTAAAGGTAATGGGAAGACACTGCAAGATTTAAGCTAGGAAGTGACAAATTTATATATACATGTTTGTGTGCTTGTAAATGTTCAATCTTACTGCTGAAAAGCTGTTCGAAGACATGAAAATCACAGCAGTCTTAGCCACTATGGAATAAATAATATGTGTGAGTCTCAGGAAAAGCTCAAGTTAATAAAAACAGAAAATAATTCATCCATCAGCACATAAACCTAATTTCTGAAATGTCATGTGATTTTTTTTGTGATATTGATAGGAAGTATAGAAATTCCATTCAAGACTGAGTTTTATCACTCTAATTGACCCTAACCATAAGAGAATACAAACTTAACTCTGTATTAACTTTAATGTGTCATAGTTTTAAATACTTTTCTAATAAATAAAATGGAGAAGTGGTAAAATTAAAAAATAATCATTTAAATAGAAAAATATAGATATGACACAGCCTAAAAGAGCAAAAAATTTTCATCGCACATCAAAGATTTTCTTTATTTGTGAAACATCATGACATCATCTAACTTTAAGAATAAAAATAGAAAAAAACTTTAGAAAGCTAAATAGAGTCATAATCATAATTATTATTCCTCAGAAAATGTTTTAGTAAACACATATAGTCTTCTTAAAGTTGCGGTCCCCAACCCCAGGGCCACAGAGCTCCCGCACACCCAACCCAGTCCATGGAAAAATTGTCTTCCATGAAACCAGTCCCTGGTGCCAAAAAGGTTGGGAGCCACTGTTCTAAAGTCCCAAACATAATAGCATTAGAATGGCAGTTACCTTTCTTGTCTAGTTCCAAAAGGATTATGCTCGACAATTCAGAATAAAGATAATTTATAGTTTATACATCCCTAAGCCAGCGATCAGGAAACAATGGCTCACAGTCCTGTTTTTGTAAAACAAAGTTTTACTGGAACACAGCCATGCTCATTTATTTGCCAACGGTCTATGGCTGTATTCACATTACAATAGCAAAGTTGAAAAGCTGCAACGGAGAGTACACAATCCATGAACATGAAGCCAAAAATATTTCCTACCTGGTCCTTTATGGAAAAAGTTGGATATTTTTGCATACTGTCTTTTTCATCTAGTATACATTATTTCTACATTATCGCTTAAAATCATTTTTATGTCTACATAATACTTCATCTAGAGGTGGTGCAATAATTTATCTAATACTTCTCAATTGCTACATATTTTTCAATTTTTTTCACTATTTTAAAAAAAGTACTTCAAAATACCTTTATTTAACTTTTTTTTCTACATTTTGGATTATTTTCTTAGAAATATCAGGACCGAGATTATCTGGATCAAATAATTGAAAAAATTATATAGCTCAAAACACACTACCAATCATGTTTCAAATCATGCACCAATTTACAATGCATCATCGCCAGCTCTGAGTGAGCACTTTTAATATTACCTTTTTCCCTAATTTAATACAGGTGTAAAGATATATCATTATGTTAACTTGCATTTCCTTGATTATCAGAGGGGCTGAACAACTTTTTGTGGTCTTATCTCCTACATGTATTTATCCATTGTTAGTGTTTGTAATGATGCTATTTTTAGCATTAAGTATCATTTTTTTAAAAAGAGTTTATGTTTTATTTCTGGCTCTTTTTACACCATTTCATTTCAGAAATAGCATCTAATAATTTGGTATTGACTATACTGACACTTTGCAGATAAACTCTAAGAGACAATAATCTGGATATCTGGGATTATTTTTTCCTTAAGGAACAAGTTCTAAAATAAGCATACCTAACTCTACCACCAGTTGGACCTTCCTAATAGAGAGATAATTATTTGAGCAGAAAAAGGTAACTATAGCAATCATTCTTTTAAGAACTTAAACCTTAAGCTTTTCCTAACAATCAACCAGGAAAAAACTGAAACCTCGATAATACAACCAAACAATCGGGCAGAAAGGTTGTAATACTGTGCTTGATATTTTGACTAACAACAACAGCTTCTTTTACTCAAATTATCAAGGAATTCAGATTTAACTCATACCACAATAGATCATAAGAACCTAAAAGCATTAACTAATTCAACTAAGGAAATTGGTTCAACACAAACTAAAGAGCACAGGTCTTGAAGTCAGAACTGGAGTTCAAAATCCTGGCAAGTAGAACCTCAGTTGTTTCGTATCTAAAAATGTGAATAATAGTACCCACCTCAAAGGTCTGCTATAAGAATTAAGTGCTATAAATTAATCAAACATTTACAGTGATCACTAATAAGCAATAGGTATTCAGTATTTAGAATAATAATAGCAAGGAGATATATATCACTTTTATATATTTCCAAATTAAATTTGATATTTACCCAATTCTGTGATTGATACATGGACAAAGTAAGCTCAGGCTTACACTTAATTAATCAATGACATATACAACAGTAATATTATGAAGGTTGACAAGAAGAAAGTCCTAATACTAGAAGCCCAGATTCTCTTCCTACCTAGCTACCACAAAATGTAATATTGGTTCTCCAAAATAATTTAATTTTGGTTTAAATATAAAAATAGAAATTTAAGTGATCTCTATTTCATACTTCCATATTTTTAAACATATAATCATTACTACCCTGGCTGCCTTCTGCACCTTTTTGCCTATCAGAATTCTGTACATTCTTCCAATGAATACAGATATCATTTCTCACTGAAACTTTCTCTAACCCCACATTCAACCATTGCCTCTTCTTTGAACCTCCATATATTTTGTTTATATTTTGTATATATTTCTGTAGTAGAATTTAACGCTGTTGGAATTATAAATTTTGCCTACGAAACTAGAGGCTCCTTGAGCAAAGTCTTTTCATCTCATTTATTGCTAGGTCTTTAACATATAGCATTGTGCTAAGCACATTGATAAGTAAAAAATAAATAAATTCAAAAGAATCCAGTTACTGAGATTCCATTTTAAATAAACGTAATGGCCAGGTACAGTGATTCACATCTGTAATCCCAGCAATTTGGGAGCCCAAAGCGGGAGGATCACTTGAGCCCAGGTGCTTGAGATTACAGTGAGCTACAATTGCACCACTGCACTCCAGCCTGAGTGACAGAGCCAGACTCTGTCTCTAAAAAATATATATAAATAAAATTTTAAAATAAACATAAAGTATACTTTAAAGAAAGTTTGGTTCACGGTCTCTCAAGCCTCCTCTGAATATCAACTATATTGTACATTATATAATATAACCATTAAAAGTATTTTTAAAGTTTTTAATAATGTAAAACTGCTGCTTTCTAACTTGGAACCAGCAGAATGGCTCCCGCAAAGAAGGATGGTGAGATTAAGGGCCGTTCTGCCATCAACGAGGTGGTGACCCAAGAATACACCGTCAACATTCACGAGCGCATCCATGGAGTGGGCTTCAAGAAGCATGCCCCTCGGGCACTCAAAGAGATCCGAAAATTTGCCATGAAGGAGATAGGAACTCCACATGTGCGCATTGATACCAGGCTCAACAAAACTGTCTGGGCCAAAGGAATAGGGAACGTCCCATACCAGATCCATGTGCGGTTGTCCAGAAAACGTAATGAGTATGAAGACTCACCAAACAAGATCTATACTTTGGTTACCTGTGTACCTGTTACCACTTTCAAATATCTACAGTCGACGTAGATGAGAACTAACCGCTGATTGTCAGATATAGCAAATAAAGTTATAAAACCACCATCACACTTTGAATAAAGTTATAAAATCAAAAAAATAAATAAATAAAAATGCTATTCCTCATGTTATATAAAAAAGCAGGATACAAAATTATATATGCAGTTTACATTGGGGTAGCAATTATGTAAATCCACTAAAATGTTCATAGGGTGTTTCTTAGTGTTGGAAATATTGATATATTTTCTTATTTGACTATTTTTCTTTTATATTTTATGTACATAAATAGATAATTTTTCATATAACACTAATAAGACAATAAGCTTATTTTTAAAAAATAAAACTAACTCAAGCAGTGGCAAATTTTCATGTAATTATTATCTTCAATTTTGGTAGTTCCATTCTCTAAATCTAAGAAATGTTTACCCTGAATATTTGTGAGTATAAGTCATCGTAAAAACTTAAAGAAAGCATCAGAAAATTATTTACTGAATCATCCTGAAAGAGGAAAATTATATAGCTTACATACTTGTAATGACTTCTTTCTTCCAGAGAATGGCAGAATTTGGCTCCTAGAAGCAGCAGCAACTCCTTTAACCTCTAAATCCATTCACGTTCGTGTAGCTATCATGCGGTATACTTTGAAAAATGGAAAGTTAATATAAAATAATAATTCTTACCCTAATTTTAAATAATCCATACAAATTACATAATAATACTACATGGAAAGAAATCATGTGGTTTATCACTTTTATTAAATATTTCTTTCACTCAAATCAACTATTTCTAGGATAGTTAGATCATGTCCTATGGCAGTCTGAATAATGTGTCCCCAAAGGGGTCCACATCTTAATCCCTGGACCCTGTTAATATGTTACCTTACATAGCAAAAAGTACTTTTCAGGTGTGATTAAGAATTTTGAGATGGAAAAATTATCCCATATTATCTAGTGGACTCTAAGTAAACAGCACGGTCCTTAGTAGGCAGGCAGGAAGATCAGAGTGAGACAGAGATGTAAGGATGGAAGCACTGGTCAGAGAGCACCGAAGATGCTATGCAGCTGGTTCTGAAGATGGAGAAAGAGGCCATGAGAAACTTCCAGAAGGCAGAAGTGACAAGGAATAGAATATCTCGTGGAGCCTCCAGAAGGAACCACCCCTGCTGACAGCTTAGTTTTAGCCCCTTAAGACCCATTCTGACTTCCAGAACTGTAATAAATTTATGTTGTTTTAAACTACTAAGTTTATGATAATCTTTCAGCAGCAATAGGAAATTAACGCATGTCCCTCTTCTCTACCACACTGAGATATACATTTATTTTCTTTACTCCTTTTCTAAACCTTTATCAGTTCTGGTTTTGCCAGAGTGGGCTGATGAAAATATTTTTAGCAAACAGTATTCTTCATCTAATACAAAGAATAAAACAGAGTGAATCCTCCAATTAATATTATGTGGTGATTCGTAAAAATACTTGCGAGAGAATGTTGAAAATAGTAAGCTTGCAAATATTTACGAAATAAAGATCAGATGACTACATCTGTCGCCAAAATTTTGTATATTTTATTTTATACTTCATCCTTAT